GCATACAAACATTTTGCACTATATACTAGTTATAAAAATAATCAAACATTGTTTATTTAAATGTAAAGATAAAAACAACATGCATTAATGTTATAGAATTAGCAAATGAGCAACTGCTTTGTGATAATTACAGTACTGAAATTAATTGAATTCATATATTGAATTGCACATGTTCACTTGAATTTAAGATGCACTTTGATTTATAAAGTAGGATGCATTTAGGATTTTTTTTCTTTCTGTGCAGATATAAAGTAAAAGTGGTTAGGATTTTGTTCAAATTCAAAGTATGAACAAAACAGCAGTAAACAAATCATTTTAGCAGGACTCTCAGGCAAAGTACTCTAGAGCCCTGAGCAATGAACAAGCTACATATCTTGATAGGACTCATTAAAGACTTAATTTCATGCATTGGGATGACTTTGTTTTTGACAAGTCAAAGGATGCCTTTATCTCACGAAGTCTGTTGCCATCTGTTAAACATGCTGGAAATCCCTAATGACATGGACAGCAGTCCTGTGGGAGTCATTTGGTCTAATGAGGGGTTTTAATGGCCAAGAAATATCAAGTCATTTAACAGGACCAGGTACGGCAGGGTGCAAACACTAATCACTTATAACATTCCCAAATTCCAGAATGAAATCGTCTCCACACACACACACACACACACACACACACACGAGTCAATTTCATGAACACCACCACAATGAAGACAAAAGGTGTTCATGGCTTCTCCTATCACTTTCTACATATTTGTAAATCTTTATTGGTTATTAAAGCTGCTCTAAAGGCAAATTGTGGCCAAATTCCTAATTAGGTTCTTGATATTTATATATAGTTCCATGATTCTATAATTTTGGTCAGCAATTTTGTTTAATTGCTAATCAGCATCAAAATGACAATTCATTATGTTAGCTTGACAAAATGACAGAGCACTGTTATTGTACAAGCTCTTCTCAAAACAACGAAATCCTTTTTTGACTGTAACAAATTTTCAAGCTACATCCACCAAACTCAGCAATCGTTATTTTATAAAACACTTGTAACTTAATTTTCTTTTCGATTAAAACCATATTGTATCTGATCAGCAACTTCCAAAGGTTTGAATGTTACCATGATTTACCATGCTATTACTGCATACTTTTTTCTTAAAGGGGTCATATGATGCGATTTCAATTTTTCCTTTCTCTGTGGAGTGATACGCTCTTGGTGCATAAAGATCTGTAAAGTTGCAAAGACTAAAGTCTCAAATCCAAAGAGATTTTCTTTATAAAAGTTCAGAGTCAGCCACGCCTACCTAAAACGGCTAGTTCTAACACGCCCCCACATATCTACATCACTATGTGGGAAGATTTGCATAACGCCGCCCAAATGTTCACGCAAAGAAAGAAGGCGTAACTTTTATTCTCGCTGTAGTATTGTTTTTGCCGCCGCCATGTCGTGAAGGCGCTGTGTGTTTCGTTGTGAAAGCTAAACTACTTTGTTTGGTCTTCCAAAAGAGGATGATATCCGCTTCGTCATGCCTAGAGCTGATCCGTGCTGGTCGCTGAGGAATTACTTCAACTTCGCGCTGTGGATCACTAGATCGGCTTTCACCGTGGACGAAGCGGAGTCCAGCCCGGGGTCGTCACATGGTAAGGGACGTAACATTTCCGCCACATGCTTGAGGTATTCGGACAATCACAACACACTGGATAGCTGGCCAATCAGAACACACCTCGCTTTTACAGATCGATGAGCTTTGTAAAAATCTACGCATTTCAAGAAGGCGGGGCATAGAGGAGAAACAATAATGTACAGTATGTGGAAAATAATGTGTTTTTTGAACCTTAAACCATAGACACATTTCATTACACCAAATACACAAAACAATGTTCTTTTTAGCAGCATCATATGACCCTTTTAATTGAAAAATTTCTAACTACACATGAACCTCACCAAAAACCTGCTGCAAAATACATATTTTTCTCAACATTAATAAGAAATTTCAGATGAATATATAATTGTACAAAATTTATAAGGACATATAATCTGAGAATTACTAGTATTGGAATGAATGGAATTGTTCAATCATTAAATTCAATCATTAAATTGAAATAAAAAAAACTCATGATTGATCAAAAACAGTACAAATATATGAAACCTGCATATGTATTTCTAAAAAAACCATCAAAACAGCAAATATAATTCTGAAAAGTTTTCAAACAAAACATTCATTTTACTTTCATAAACTAAATAATAAATTTTTCATGCTGCAATAGTTTGACAATAGGCAAACATATTCATGAATTCACAGAATTCATCTCCGAAAGAGTGTGAAACATGGGGAAATATATTTTACAAAAGTTTTCTGGGACTAATAACTTCATAGATAATTTTACAAAAAGTATTTTTACATATACAAGTCCAAAGTGACCTGTACATGAAATGTGTAACTAAAAAAACTTTATGCATCTCTTCCGGGTCAAAACGGACTCGAATGCATTATGAGGGTTAAAGCATTCAAATGTCGAAAGGTATAACTATACAAGCTTTCAACATCAAAGCCTTTTAAACTTTTTATTTTTTAAATTAGACAATGCTTTGTCAAGCAAACATCAGAGTTTTCTAAAGAGTATAGTGACAAATATGAACCTGATATTACTGTCATACCTGTTGTGCATGACTTTAGGGCGCTTTCACCACAGGTACACCTGAAACTGGACGTTATATCTGACAGAAACGTGCCACATAATTCACCTGCGCTGAACACAAGCAGCCGTCAGACGAGCAGAAGAGGCTGGGCAGAGAAACAATGAGCAAAAGACGCAGTTACATAACACAAACCCAGGCACACTCTGTTCCACTTCATCCCATTGCGTGTGTGTGTGTGTGTACAGGTGTGTGGCATGTTTGAGTCGTCTTCCGAAGTAACAATACCACAGCAAATGAGCCATAACCAAACAAGCAGGCTTTTCATCTGTCCAATACTGAATAAACAAAAATGATGCAAGTGACAAATACAAATGCATAAAATTTTAATGCTGTTACATGGAAATGTTATAAAATGTATACACGTTCACATAATTGTAACCTTCCACAAAAGTTGGCCAACAATTTCTTAAGCTGCAGTTCACATATTATAGCTTCTGCTGGTGAAAAATTGAAAGTGAAATATTTATAATTAACAGTATAAGTAAACAGCTTTCCATTATTGAATGGCACACAATTCATATTTGCATTGTAATGACAGTCGGGCCACTTGTTAAAATGAGACACACTTAGTCTTAAAGGGACAGTTCACCCAAAAATAGAAAATCTGTCATTTTCTCACCCTCATGTCATTCCAAACCAATGACACATTTGTTCAACTATCCCTTTAATGACTAAATAGCATACTAACATGTATATTACAGTGAGAGTAGTATGTTAGTGTGCTATTTCTGCTTACTTCTCTATGCATAGGGTACATGTGGTATTCAGTCAGTTGTAACCCAGTACTTAATTTCTAACCAGTGAAACCGGTCCATATCGAACGCAAGGAGAACAGGAGATCTTCTTTTGATAAAGGTGTTTGATAACACATTGTGTGAGATCCACAGACACCTTCCATCCTCCAGTCAGCCTTCAGACACTCATATACGAGTGAGATCATCTTCTTCAGATCTTGTATTTCTGTTTCCCTAAAACTTCACAATGTTTACTAACTGAAAAAGGCTCTATAAGCATAAAAATAAAAAATTTGTAAAATAGTCTACAACTTTAATTAGACTGAACCGAGTACTGATATGATAGTTCAGAGACTTCCAAACTTTTTTGGTTAACTGAACCCCTTATGTTTACTTGAAGATCCCCCTGAGTAATATTTCCATCATTTAAAGGTGACATATCATGAACATCCAAGTTCCAGGTTTTAAGTGCTATAATCAGGTCCCCAGTGCATCTACCAAACAAGGAAACGTGAAAAAGATTAACCCAGTAACTTTGTTTTGGGAAGCCTTTTTCTGCAAGCGTCTGAGATTAAATTTTTTTGCATCCTCAGATTTTCAAATAGTTGTATCTCAGCCAAATATTGTCCTATCGTAACAAATCCTTTTCCATCAATGGAAAGCTTATTTATTCAGCTTTCAGATGGTTTTGTGGTCCAGGGTCACATATTATAGAATTTTTACGCATGCAAATATATTTAATGTAGGCCCTGTTATTTTTAGAGAAATGTTAATATTGTACTTTTGCACTTTTGTAGCTGGATCAGACTGTAAACAAAGAAAAATAAAATGTATTATGCTAACTTATTTAACAACAAATCAAAACTAAATGTAGTGAACGTATCGCATCATTAAAAGCGGAAAGATTGCAAAAATGACAGTCACGACTAAAAACAATCATCCTGCTTCTAAGCGCCGTGGAATAAATGCAGCTTTTTTGCTTGAATAAATAGATGCACATGGTACATGATTGACTGACCTCTGAAATGTTCAAGCATATTGTGAAAGCGGGGCAATAAGCAGAAGAATAAAGCATCTGAAAGGCCTTTGTTTATCTGGAAGGATATTAAAGTGATCGAGGGAGCGAGTTTATCCAGACAGACAGCAGACGTACCTCCACAATCAGGACGTTCTTCAGGACATGTAAAGAAACACAAAAAAGATGAGACACTGAACGCTCAGGATATATCAACATCACACAACATACTTACATAAAAATAACTCACATACTAATGAGAATTTGTGCTTAAATATTTTGAATAATTTATTTTGGGGTAAAGCTTGTCCTGTTTTCATTAGATTTACCCATGAGCTAGACTGGATGCATTTTTGTCTAACAAAAAACTAAGAAAATTTGTATAAAATCTATTTATTATTGTGTGTAGACCACCAAACAAACAGAAAAAAACTGCTTTATTTCCAAGTTGAAAACAGAGAGAATTCATATTCAGGGGGAAATAAAAAGACAAAAGATCTTTTACTAAAGAACTGTGTGTGTTTCACTGTATCACAATCCTGAGCTCTGCTGGGAAAACCCAATTACCTGCGCAACGGAGCAGATCAATCCTCTTACTGAAGAATTAGACATCATAAACCTTTGACAAACTCCAACCTCTCAGTCATGTCTAGCACACATATTCAGAATCACTGCACTTAACCAGGAACTGAACTTAAAATCCATCATAATTAGAGCTAATAATAAAATTAAAGAATTTAGAAAAAATATAGGATGCAATTATATAGACATAATAGTATAATTATTATAAAATGGTTTTAATGAAGGGAAATTTGTAAAATGGCATGATAATATTTGTGAAAGAATACAGAAAAAGAAAATAGATGCATATTTAAATTAGTCATCAATTACTATTTTATTTTTATTTTACAATAACTCTTTTTACTTGTTTTGCTTTGTTATTGTCTTTAGATTATAGTGTTTAAGTCAAATAAAAATAGTTCACGGATATGTCTACAGAAATGATATGAATGGGAATAGAATGCTATGGTGTGTCTCTCTCTCTCTCTGTGTGTGTGTGTGTGTGTGTGTTTGTATCAGTGTGTGTGTCTTTTGCATGTCTTGCTTGCGGACATTTGACCTGTAAACCTGTGTATTCCACAGAAACCGACGAGTCAACTTTAAGCATTTACCTTTCAAAAACGTTTCAAGAACACAACAGAGAAAAATGACATTCTCTCACAGTGCTCCTAACAAGCAAATTATGCCTAGTTCATTTAAATACTATTCAAAAGGCGAATCTCAAAAAACATGTCCAGGTCACATTTCACCACAAAGTCAAAAACTTAAAAGAAAAATAAAATCATTATATTTCTCATAAGGAAACTTTTTTTTTTTTTAAGCATATTGACATTATATGGCCAGGTTTCATAAGGCGGCTGAGAAAATCTTTACCTTTCCACTCAGCACAGACAGGTTCTCTGCTCCTTCTATGTGAAGATCTTGAGTTGACTGGTCATTCTGGAGTGAAATCAAGTATTATATTTTATATATAATATATATATATTATATTTCATCGTAAGGAAAAAAATGACATTTAGTACATATTTACTTCGACCAATGCGTCTGGAAAGACTTACTATCTACTATAAATGAGCCAAGACATTAGATCAATCTAGTGTCATGCTAGTGATGCTTTCCAGACAAAGTGATTTAGCGTACAATAAATGCCAGTTATCCTAGATCCACCTGGGTTCGACAAACATAGGCTTTAGTTGAAAAAATGTCAGCAGAGCCTCAAAGCTGATAACTGACTTCACAATCTCTAGGCTGAGCGGAGATACAGAGCGTGATGAATATAAAGTCACAACGCCCTCTGTTGACTAAATACATAAAATACAGACAACAGGCAACAACAACAACATTCACATTTCATTAAAGGGTTAGTTCACCCCAAAATGAAAATTCTGTCATTAATTACTCACCCTCATGTTGATCCAAACCCGTAAGACCTTCGTTCATCTTCAGAACACAAATTAAGATACTTTTGATGAAATGTAAGAGCTCTCAGACCGTGCATAGAGTTACGTAATCAGATTACTTTTTCCAAGTAACTAGTAAAGTAACGCATTACTTTTTAATTTACAAGAAAATATCGGAGTTACTATTTAGAGAAACTAACAATTGTGCTACATTATTTTTTTTATTGCTGAAGAGTGTTGAACCTTCTGTGTTCTACTGTACAGACGTGAATTTACTTTTGCTTCAGCCTGAGGTTTATTCATTACACTTTTTGTTATGAAAGGGCTTTTACATTTGCTATAAATACAACTTATTATATTAAAAACAATCAAGTCCTGCTCATATTTAAAAAGTAACGCGAAAGTAACGCAAAAGTAACGTAACGCATTACTTTCCATAAAAAGTAACTAAGTAATGTAATTAGTTACTTTTTTATGGAGTAACGCAATATTGTAATGCATTACTTTTCAAAGTAACTTTCCCCAACACTGGTAAGGACATCGGTAAAACAGTCCATGTGACAGTGGCTCAACTTCAGTTTTACGAAGCTACGAGAATACTTTTTGAGCGCAAAGAAAACAAATTAGAAAATGTATTCAACAATTCTTCTCCCCCGAGTTACTCTCCAAAATGGCGGGAGACGTATCACAACGCATACGCATGTTTTCCCCCCCCCAAGCATAAACAACGCTGATTGCGTTTACGTGTGCGCTTTCTCCCCTGAACGTAAACAACGCTGATTACGTCGATTACGCTCTTGGGTACTCTCCAAAATGGCGGAAGACGTAACTCGGTGGAGAAGAATTGTTGAATAAATTATGTGACTTGTTTTCTTTGCACTCAAAAAGTATTCTCGTAGTTTCGCAAAACTGAAGTTGAACCACTGATGTCACATGGACTGTTTTACCGATGTTTTACTACGTTTCTGGACCTGGGAACATTACAGTTGTGTTGCTGTATATGCAGGGTCTGAGAGCTTTCACATTTAATCGAAGATATCTTAATTTGTGTTCTGAAGATGAACGAAAGTTTTACGGGTTTGGAACGGCATGAGGGTGAGTAATTAATGACAGAATTTTCATTTTGGGGTGAACTAACCCTTTAATCAGAACAAACTCTACTGAAACTGACAAAAATGCCTCAGGTTTTTAAAATGTTGGAGCAAAAATATGCTATTTATTAAACTAATATATTTTTTGATATACTATTTTACTCTAGGCCTTTACAGACACTTTAGTGACTTATTGGTCCTTTTTAACTTGCTATTAATCAAAGGAACTTAAAAAACTGTATCATCATGGTTTCCACAAAAATATGAAGCAGCACAAACACTGATTACAATCAGAAATGTCATCAGGTTTGGTTGCATGTCTGGCTTCACACAGCAATTTGCATGCAAGAAAGCCAAGACTCATTATGACCATGAAGGCATGCTGAGAAAATCACAAACAAAGTGGCATTTGTAAAAGAAAATATTTGTGTCCACGTGCACGAGTATGAAAGAATGAATAAATTATGTGACTTGTTTTCTTTGCACTCAAAAAGTATTCTCGTAGTTTCGCAAAACTGAAGTTGAACCACTGATGTCACATGGACTGTTTTACCGATGTTTTACTACGTTTCTGGACCTGGGAACATTACAGTTGCGTTGCTGTATATGCAGGGTCTGAGAGCTTTCACATTTAATCAAAGATATCTTAATTTGTGTTCTGAAGATGAACGAAAGTTTTACGGGTTTGGAACGGCATGAGGGTGAGTAATTAATGACAGAATTTTCATTTTGGGGTGAACTAACCCTTTAATCAGAACAAACTCTACTGAAACTGACAAAAATGCCTCAGGTTTTTAAAATGTTGGAGCAAAAATATGCTATTTATTAAACTAATATATTTTTTGATATACTATTTTACTCTAGGCCTTTACAGACACTTTAGTGACTTATTGGTCCTTTTTAACTTGCTATTAATCAAAGGAACTTAAAAAACTGTATCATCATGGTTTCCACAAAAATATGAAGCAGCACAAACACTGATTACAATCAGAAATGTCATCAGGTTTGGTTGCATGTCTGGCTTCACACAGCAATTTGCATGCAAGAAAGCCAAGACTCATTATGACCATGAAGGCATGCTGAGAAAATCACAAACAAAGTGGCATTTGTAAAAGAAAATATTTGTGTCCACGTGCACGAGTATGAAAGAAACTTGTGATTCATCACATGATCTAAGCAGTTTCATGCTCTTTTAGCATGTTAGGAAAATCATTTTAAATTTGCTCTACATTCAAATTCTGAGGAAAATGGAAAAATGACATCTATGGAAGAAACTCTCAGAAACAGAGTTCAAAAACACTAAACTCCATGGGTGCTCACCAGGTAGCTCTTGAGCCGGATGAAGTCCACCCTCATGGGAAGGGTCTTGTTGGAGTGTCGGCACAGGACTTTGATGCAGTCCACCAGGTCAGCGCAGAACTGATAACCTCCCTTCAGCACACACAGCACCACGATGTCATGATCTCCAAGATCATCCATGATATTTCTGGCCAGTCTCTCTGTCCTGGAAAATCCCATCACAGCACAACAAAGTCTATTTGTCTATATTGATCCAAAAATGTTTGTTTTTCACACTGAATTGTTAGAAATAAATGAACGCAATGTCTACATGCTTCATTGTCATTATAATAATAATTTTTATTTTACATAGAAGGGGGGAATCTCCTCAACCACCACCAGTGTGCAGCATCCACCTGGATGATGCGACGGCAGCCATATTGCGCCAGAACACCCACCGCACACCAGCTTACTGGTGGAGAGGAGACAGAGTGATGAAGCCAATCAGCAGATATGGGGATTGTTAGGAGGCCATGATGGTCAGAGGCCAATGGGCGAATTTGGCCAGGATGCCGGGGTTATACCCCTCCTCTTTTTCGAAAGACATCCTGGGATTTTTAATGACCATAGAGAGTCAGGACCTCGGTTTAACGTCTCATCCGAAGGATGGTGCTTTTTACAGTATAGTGTCCCCGTCACTATACTGGGGCGTTAGGACCCACACAGACCACAGGGTGAGCACCCCCTGCTGGCCTCACTAACACCTCTTCCAGCAGCAACCTAGTTCTCCCAAGAGGTCTCCCATCCAGGTACTGACCAGCCCTGCTTAGCTTCAGTGGGCAAACCAGTCTTGGGCTGCAGGGTGATATGGCTGCTAAATAACTGGTCAAATAATCCTTCTTAGAACCATGCCTGATCCTAATGGGAATTTTCCGACAAAAATATTATTTTAGAACACATAGGTCCCAATATGACTATTAAGACTAATATCATTTCCTGTGGGATTTCGGTAACACTTTACAATAAGGTTCATTAGTTAACTACTATAGTTAACATTAACTAAGATTAATAAATGCTAGAAGTATTGTTCATGTCAACATTTAATAATGCATTATTCAAATCAAAAGTTGTGCTTGTTAACATTAGTTAATGCACTGTGAATTAATATGAACCAACAATGAGCGACTGTAACTAACATTAACAAAGATGAATCAATACTGTAATAAAAGTATTGTTTGTTCATGTTAGTTAATACATTAACTAATGGAACCTTATTGTAAAGTTTTACAGAGATTTCATTTAACTGTCCAGTACAGAATTGAAAAAAAAGTCAGAATCGCGCGGGACAAAAAAGTCAGAATTGCGCGGGAAAAAAAGAGTCAGAATTGCGCGGACAAAAAAGTCAGAATTGCGCGGGACAAAAAAGTCAGAATTGCGCGGGACAAAAAAGTCAGAATTGCGCGGGACAAAAAAGTCAGAATTGCGCGGGACAAAAAAGTCAGAATTGCGCGGGACAAAAAAGTCAGAATTGCGCGGGACAAAAAAGTCAGAATTGCGCGGGACAAAAAAGTCAGAATTGCGCGGGACAAAAAAGTCAGAATTGCGCGGGACAAAAAAGTCAGAATTGCGCGGGACAAAAAAGTCAGAATTGCGCGGGAAAAAAAGTCAGAATTGCGTGGAAAAAAGTCAGAATTGCTTTCAAAAGGAAAGGCAATCTCTCACATATATCCATTTCTCACACAATTTTAGCATACATTTGCTTGCATAAAAATAAAAAGATGTTCATCTCAAAACTACTTTACCAGGTCCATTAAGAAACACTGATTTCAGTATAAATTAGGCACTATGCTGTAAATCCCTGTAGTTCTAACTATTTAAAATCTAAAAAAGTACAATCGTTACAAACTCAAATGCATTGCTGAAATGTTTTCAAAATGAACATACAGCACGAAATAAAGTCAGTAATAAAATAGGCATTTTTATTTGTTCATAGTCTATGCAGTGGGGTGGGGTCCAAAAGTCTGAGATCTAAAATCTCATTTAAACCTGTAACAGCAGAATGAGTTCATCAGTCTGCACGGTGGACGTCATCAGTAAATGGTTAGATTACGCTTAATTTCATTTACAGTACCTATCCATGATAACCCCGTGTGGGATGTAGACGCACTCCAGATCCTCGCAGTAATGCTCGGGAGAGTTGAACAGGTCCAGCGGGTACCCGGGCCAGTCATCCGGGATCTGCAAAGCACGGCTGAGATGAGACACATATGCATTTTTTTTTCTTCACGTGTTGCAAAGTTGCAACTGCGTGTTGGCTACTTTTACAGCGTGGTCACAAAGTTTACAATGAAGTACAATCCGCCAGCTTTGGTTGCACACTAACTTCATTTGCGATGCTTTTAATTTATTTGCAAGCGCACAAACCACAATTCCTTTATCCAAGTCTGTTTGCTTGCGTTCCCGTCCTGCCATGTTGGATTCTTTCAGCTCGTTGAATGAATCGAGCTCTTCTCGCGCACACTTCTGTAGTGCTGATGACGACACTCGCCATGACGTCACCGGGAGCGCACACAATGGGTGCCACCGCTGCTGGCGGAGCGTGGCGCATCGGTATGTGGGTGCAAGTGACTAGAGTTTGGGTTCGGTGCAATCCATGTTCATTACACGTGTAGCTGAAGTTAACTTATTTCCCCAAACAATACAAATAATATTCCCAGATCCCATATCACTAGCCTAGAAAACAGTCTGTTTCATTTTCACTGAATGCAGTCCACTTTAAAACATAGTATACATACATCATATTAATTACAGTATTGTATTTAACTGATTGCTGGTGCTTTTCCCATAAAGCCTCTAATTGCTTGGTTGCGAAAACTTGTCTTCACAAAAATGACTGGAATAGCTGAACCTGTAAATTACACATACATTTGGCCATACAGATTATAAAAGTTAAATGATATGTTAATAATTGTATATAGTAGTCATCCAAATCACTGTAGTTACTATTGAGAAATTGCTAATACATTTCACAAGCAATTTCAATAGCAAGCACACTTGAAACTTTGAAGTAGAAAAAAAACGAAAATAATATTTTCTTATAAAATGCAATCCAATCATCTTTTTGTTAGAAAAACGTAGAAAAACAACACTTATTTACAGATTTACAGTACACTTTTATCTTAAAGGCCTTTTGTAGTTTTATGATCACATGACAAGTTTTTATTTTGTTATGCATTTGCACGTTTATTTCAAAAGTGAAATATTTTTAACTAAAATTCATCAAATTGTAAATGATGCTTTCAGTATTGGGTTTGCATGTTAAAAACATGATGGCAACACTTTTTTAGTGTTGTTGTATATGCTCTTGTGTAATCTTTGCTGTAATGTAGATTGTTGTGTTTCTGTTTTGGTTTGCAATAAATTGCTTAAGACAATGACTTTTCCACCACAACACCTCCACCTCGTTTTTTTTTTCATCAAACATGAGGTTTTGCGGCCACATTGCTCCTGTTCCTTGTGGAGGCATTGGATGACAAACTTCAATATCGCCATGGCATTCTATTTTAAGAAGCTTCTTCCTTGCTGACATCCAGTTCAGACCAAATCTGTACAGGTGGGTTTTAAACAGCTTGAAATTGGTTCACCAGACTTCTTCTGAGGGGCTCTGGCAGTTCTTTGATCTTGGCACGGTACCATGTACTCCCATGCATGATGAAATCAGACTGATGTACAGAGATTTACATTATAGGCCTTGAAGTGTAGCCTTAATCATGTTTTACTGATTTGCACTTAGCTCAAATTTTAGACACTTCATATTTCATCTAGTGATACATGTAGGTGTACACTAACTTTTTCCCACACAAGAAATGTCCATTTCTGTTTATTTAAACTGTACAAACCATTTACAGTGTCAATTGTTAAGTCATATTCCCTTTCCATTTTTTTGGTGTTGGTGAAAAGCCAGTCTCAAATAAGTGTCATAATGTGCTGAAAACAAAACAAAACTGCAGTATACTAAGCGTGTACTAGATTCACATTATTGTATATGACTTCTGTTGCTTTTATTCTGAGCCAATTATATTTTTATGAAGATATTGTTTAGTGCCTAATAAGCCATTTTCCTCGAGGGGATCGTTTACTGCTCCTGGCAATAGATGATTTCAGGTTTTACTGTCCTTGTAGGGATATTTTGGTATCTTTTGATAACAGATTTGGAGAAATGTAGCATCACATCACTTGCTCACCAATGGATGCTCTGCAGTGAATGGGTGCCGTCAGAATGAGAGTCCAAACAGCTGATAAAAACATCACAATAATCCACAAATAATCCACTCCACTCCACTCCAGTCAATCAGTTAATGTCTTTGAAGTAAAAAGCTGCGTGTTTGTAAGAAACAAATCCATCATTAAGACGTTTTAACTTTAAACCATCGCTTGAGTCCTTAATCTATAATAGTGCTTCCTCCTGTCAAAAAAGTAATTCTGTCAGGACCACTGTCATCAAAGATGATTGACAATTAGCATACAGTTTGGATTGGCGGTATGATTCCGTTCTGGGCAAGAACTCCTTGTGCATCCATGCAGCCCCCCCCAGGGTAAACAGAACAGAACCAAATTGCAGATATAGTTAAAGTTCAATAATTTTATGTACACATTTTAGAATTAGTCTGATTCAAAGGAGAATCAGAAGGCTGAATCCTGACTGACAGAGGAGGAGCTGGGGATGGAGGAGGGTAATCAGCTATTGAGCAATGCAAAAACTGCTGATAATACTGAGGGACCTTATATATGAATGCTTAGATAGGTGTCGTATTCCTATAGGTAGATGGGGATCAGCTGAGTCAGCTGATGCGAGCTTGACTAACGTGACCTGCCAGAACTAACGCTATGCTTGATTTCCCTGTTGTCCTTTTACATCACAACCACTGAATTGTTTGTTTAGAGCTGTTTTAGACTGTTTTTGTTTGTAAACAGTGCTTTATATCTGCATATTTCTCTCCTGATGCAGATGAGATGACTTTTCAAATGGAGAAAGCAATATTATGGATAGAGGACTAATCTTATATTATTTGAGAATTGAGCTGAATAATGACACTTGTGTGCTGTAGCTGCTTTGCAGCTAAAATTTAATTTGTTTCATAATTTATGAATATTTAAGACATTAACACTGTTATTTGTTCTGTTTATTAATGTGAAGCTGCTTTGAAACAATCTGTGTTGCATAAAGCGCTATGCAGCAAACAACATAAAATGCCACATAAACATCTTAATGCACATAACAGATAACAAAACAGAGAATAAATCCACGTAAGGCTCATATAAGGCCGTTTGTACTTTTTACTTTAATATCGTAGTGTAAATGTATCCTGTTTTAATCACATGACTTTTTCTGCTCATCCAGCATATTTATGACCATCAGCAGGGCAATGGCAGTGAATGCAAAAACACATAGGTCTAAAAGCAATTATAAGGTAAAACACATTTTAATATTTCACAGTAAAACTACGTGTTATCACGTACATTTTTATCGTAAATTGAAAAGTTGTGCTTGTTAACATTAGTTAATGCACTGTGAATTAATATGAACCAACAATGAGCGACTGTAACTAACATTAACAAAGATGAATCAATACTGTAATAAAAGTATTGTTTGTTCATGTTAGTTAATACATTAACTAATGGAACCTTATTGTAAAGTTTTACAGAGATTTCATTTAACTGTCCAGTACAGAATTGAAAAAAAAGTCAGAATCGCGCGGGACAAAAAAGTCAGAATTGCGCGGGAAAAAAAGAGTCAGAATTGCGCGAAAAAAAAAAAAGAGTCAGAATTGCGCGGGGAAAAAAGTCAGAATCGCGCGGGAAAAAAAGTCAGAATCGCGGGACAAAAAAGTCAGAATTGCGCGGGACAAAAAAGTCAGAATTGCGCGGGACAAAAAAGTCAGAATGCGTGGAAAAAAGTCAGAATTGCTTTCAAAAGGAAAGGCAATCTCTCACATATATCCATTTCTCACACAATTTTAGCATACATTTGCTTGCATAAAAATAAAAAGATGTTCATCTCAAAACTACTTTACCAGGTCCATTAAGAAACACTGATTTCAGTATAAATTAGGCACTATGCTGTAAATCCCTGTAGTTCTAACTATTTAAAATCTAAAAAAGTACAATCGTTACAAACTCAAATGCATTGCTGAAATGTTTTCAAAAAAAGTTTTACAGAGATTTCATTTAACTGTCCAGTACAGAATTGAAAAAAAAGTAAGAATCGCGCGGGACAAAAAAGTCAGAATTGCGTGGGAAAAAAAGAGTCAGAATTGCGCGAAAAAAAAAAAAAAGAGTCAGAATTGCGCGGGAAAAAAAAGTCAGAATTGCACGGAAAAAGTCAGAATCGCGCGGGAAAAAAAGTCAGAATCGCGCGGGACAAAAAAGTCAGAATCGCGCGGGACAAAAAAGTCAGAATCGCGCGGGGGAAAAAAGTCAGAATTTCGCGGGGGGAAAAAGTCAGAATTGCGCGGGAAAAAGTCAGAATTGCGCGGGGGAAAAAAGTCAGAATTGCGCGGGGGGAAAAAGTCAGAATTGCGCGGGAAAAAGTCAGAATTGCGCGGGGGAAAAAAGTCAGAATTGCGCGGGAAAAAAAGTCAGAATTGCGCGGGAAAAAAAGTCAGAATTGCGTGGAAAAAAGTCAGAATTGCTTTCAAAAGGAAAGGCAATCTCTCACATATATCCATTTCTCACACAATTTTAGCATACATTTGCTTGCATAAAAATAAAAAGATGTTCATCTCAAAACTACTTTACCAGGTCCATTAAGAAACACTGATTTCAGTATAAATTAGGCACTATGCTGTAAATCCCTGTAGTTCTAACTATTTAAAATCTAAAAAAGTACAATCGTTACAAACTCAAATGCATTGCTGAAATGTTTTCAAAATGAACATACAGCACGAAATAAAGTCAGTAATAAAATAGGCATTTTTATTTGTTCATAGTCTATGCAGTGGGGTGGGGTCCAAAAGTCTGAGATCTAAAATCTCATTTAAACCTGTAACAGCAGAATGAGTTCATCAGTCTGCACGGTGGACGTCATCAGTAAGTGGTTAGATTACGCTTAATTTCATTTACAGTACCTATCCATGATAACCCCGTGTGGGATGTAGACGCACTCCAGATCCTCGCAGTAATGCTCGGGAGAGTTGAACAGGTCCAGCGGGTACCCGGGCCAGTCATCCGGGATCTGCAAAGCACGGCTGAGATGAGACACATATGCATTTTTTTTTCTTCACGTGTTGCAAAGTTGCAACTGCGTGTTGGCTACTTTTACAGCGTGGTCACAAAGTTTACAATGAAGTACAATCCGCCAGCTTTGGTTGCACACTAACTTCATTTGCGATGCTTTTAATTTATTTGCAAGCGCACAAACCACAATTCCTTTATCCAAGTCTGTTTGCTTGCGTTCCCGTCCTGCCATGTTGGATTCTTTCAGCTCGTTGAATGAATCGAGCTCTTCTCGCGCACACTTCTGTAGTGCTGATGACGACACTCGCCATGACGTCACCGGGAGCGCACACAATGGGTGCCACCGCTGCTGGCGGAGCGTGGCGCATCGGTATGTGGGTGCAAGTGACTAGAGTTTGGGTTCGGTGCAATCCATGTTCATTACACGTGTAGCTGAAGTTAACTTATTTCCCCAAACAATACAAATAATATTCCCAGATCCCATATCACTAGCCTAGAAAACAGTCTGTTTCATTTTCACTGAATGCAGTCCACTTTAAAACATAGTATACATACATCATATTAATTACAGTATTGTATTTAACTGATTGCTGGTGCTTTTCCCATAAAGCCTCTAATTGCTTGGTTGCGAAAACTTGTCTTCACAAAAATGACTGGAATAGCTGAACCTGTAAATTACACATACATTTGGCCATACAGATTATAAAAGTTAAATGATATGTTAATAATTGTATATAGTAGTCATCCAAATCACTGTAGTTACTATTGAGAAATTGCTAATACATTTCACAAGCAATTTCAATAGCAAGCACACTTGAAACTTTGAAGTAGAAAAAAAACGAAAATAATATTTTCTTATAAAATGCAATCCAATCATCTTTTTGAATCTTGTTGTTAGAAAAACAACACTTATTTACAGATTTACAGTACACTTTTATCTTAAAGGCCTTTTGTAGTTTTATGATCACATGACAAGTTTTAATTTTGTTATGCATTTGCACGTTTATTTCAAAAGTGAAATATTTTTAACTAAAATTCATCAAATTGTAAATGATGCTTTCAGTATTGGGTTTGCATGTTAAAAACATGATGGCAACACTTTTTTAGTGTTGTTGTATATGCTCTTGTGTAATCTTTGCTGTAATGTAGATTGTTGTGTTTCTGTTTTGGTTTGCAATAAATTGCTTAAGACAATGACTTTTCCACCACAACACCTCCACCTCGTTTTTTTTTTCATCAAACATGAGGTTTTGCGGCCACATTGCTCCTGTTCCTTGTGGAGGCATTGGATGACAAACTTCAATATCGCCATGGCATTCTATTTTAAGAAGCTTCTTCCTTGCTGACATCCAGTTCAGACCAAATCTGTACAGGTGGGTTTTAAACAGCTTGAAATTGGTTCACCAGACTTCTTCTGAGGGGCTCTGGCAGTTCTTTGATCTTGGCACGGTACCATGTACTCCCATGCATGATGAAATCAGACTGATGTACAGAGATTTACATTATAGGCCTTGAAGTGTAGCCTTAATCATGTTTTACTGATTTGCACTTAGCTCAAATTTTAGACACTTCATATTTCATCTAGTGATACATGTAGGTGTACACTAACTTTTTCCCACACAAGAAATGTCCATTTCTGTTTATTTAAACTGTACAAACCATTTACAGTGTCAATTGTTAAGTCATATTCCCTTTCCATTTTTTTGGTGTTGGTGAAAAGCCAGTCTCAAATAAGTGTCATAATGTGCTGAAAACAAAACAAAACTGCAGTATACTAAGCGTGTACTAGATTCACATTATTGTATATGACTTCTGTTGCTTTTATTCTGAGCCAATTATATTTTTATGAAGATATTGTTTAGTGCCTAATAAGCCATTTTCCTCGAGGGGATCGTTTACTGCTCCTGGCAATAGATGATTTCAGGTTTTACTGTCCTTGTAGGGATATTTTGGTATCTTTTGATAACAGATTTGGAGAAATGTAGCATCACATCACTTGCTCACCAATGGATGCTCTGCAGTGAATGGGTGCCGTCAGAATGAGAGTCCAAACAGCTGATAAAAACATCACAATAATCCACAAATAATCCACTCCACTCCACTCCAGTCAATCAGTTAATGTCTTTGAAGTAAAAAGCTGCGTGTTTGTAAGAAACAAATCCATCATTAAGACGTTTTAACTTTAAACCATCGCTTGAGTCCTTAATCTATAATAGTGCTTCCTCCTGTCAAAAAAGTAATTCTGTCAGGACCACTGTCATCAAAGATGATTGACAATTAGCATACAGTTTGGATTGGCGGTATGATTCCGTTCTGGGCAAGAACTCCTTGTGCATCCATGCAGCCCCCCCCAGGGTAAACAGAACAGAACCAAATTGCAGATATAGTTAAAGTTCAATAATTTTATGTACACATTTTAGAATTAGTCTGATTCAAAGGAGAATCAGAAGGCTGAATCCTGACTGACAGAGGAGGAGCTGGGGATGGAGGAGGGTAATCAGCTATTGGGGAATGCAAAAACTGCTGATAATACTGAGGGACCTTATATATGAATGCTTAGATAGGTGTCGTATTCCTATAGGTAGATGGGGATCAGCTGAGTCAGCTGATGCGAGCTTGACTAACGTGACCTGCCAGAACTAACGCTATGCTTGATTTCCCTGTTGTCCTTTTACATCACAACCACTGAATTGTTTGTTTAGAGCTGTTTTAGACTGTTTTTGTTTGTAAACAGTGCTTTATATCTGCATATTTCTCTCCTGATGCAGATGAGATGACTTTTCAAATGGAGAAAGCAATATTATGGATAGAGGACTAATCTTATATTATTTGAGAATTGAGCTGAATAATGACACTTGTGTGCTGTAGCTGCTTTGCAGCTAAAATTTAATTTGTTTCATAATTTATGAATATTTAAGACATTAACACTGTTATTTGTTCTGTTTATTAATGTGAAGCTGCTTTGAAACAATCTGTGTTGCATAAAGCGCTATGCAGCAAACAACATAAAATGCCACATAAACATCTTAATGCACATAACAGATAACAAAACAGAGAATAAATCCACGTAAGGCTCATATAAGGCCGTTTGTACTTTTTACTTTAATATCGTAGTGTAAATGTATCCTGTTTTAATCACATGACTTTTTCTGCTCATCCAGCATATTTATGACCATCAGCAGGGCAATGGCAGTGAATGCAAAAACACATAGGTCTAAAAGCAATTATAAGGTAAAACACATTTTAATATTTCACAGTAAAACTACGTGTTATCACGTACATTTTTATCGTAAATTGTAAAGAAACTATTAAGAATTAACACGTTTTGCTGTCCAATTTTTACATTTTTCAGGTGCATTTTTTACAGTGCAGGTTTAATGTTGCCCTAACAATAATGTAACATTTAGCATACAAAATAATGCATATTTAATATCAATGGGATTATGGAGGAGAAGAATGGACAAGGATTGCTTAATATGCCCATGAGAACATCCCGTACCAGCATCCCTTGTCTCTCTTCACCTCACCCAAGTGCACAAGACTGACAGGAGCAATGGCCATTCACATGTCTGCAGTACAGTAACGAGGGAAAGATGCTTTTGGAAACAATCAGCCCCCCGCCACAAGTCGCTCCAAGATCTACCGAGGCTTGACGCGTTAGATCCACAGATGTGGGTGGCGTGGTCGGTGTGTGGATTTGTCTGATTGAGCCATTAGAGTTGAGTAACTTTGGAGAACGCACGCCCGTTTACGCTGAGCTGAGGAATGGACGCACTCGTGAAGTGAACGTCGATGGAGAATGTTCAAGGTCCTCGCTGGCGTCGAGGCATGGATGCATTCCTGCTCTACCTTCTTCTGCTAATTGGAATTGCGAAGGGATCGAATTACGGCTACGTGGAATGGTCTGAAAATGACAAAGATCCTGAAATCAAGGCTAAATACCCGATTTACAGCACCGGGGAGACGATGCACCAGCAACCGACCATCTCCAGCACTGAGCGGACGGCGGTGGCGCATAAGCTCGAGGAGGATCTGCCGCGGGTGGTCACCGCTTTCCTGCACACGGGGGACTCATCCACCCTGGAGCATGTCAGCTGCTCTCGGCGGTATGAGCTGAGCAGTCTCCGCGGTGGAGCTCACGCCGCCTCGCACTCCTCCCTCCACGGCGTCCTCGACACCATGACGCACGCCACCAACTTCCTAAACATGCTCCTGCAGTCCAACAGCTCCAGGGAGCAGCATCCGAGGAGGGATATCCAGTGGTACCACGCGCTCGTGACGAGTATGTTGGAAGGGAATCCTAAAATCCATCGGGCGGTGCTCACATTTCACACGGAGTCTCCTGAGGCGCCCGGTCCGCAGGTGTTCCTTCAGGCGACCAGAGGCGAGGAGCGCATAGTGCTTCAAGATCTGTCCAACACCGCGCGCCATCGCCTTAAAAACAGGACGCCTGAGTCCGACTGGTACAACGAGTTTCGGGACAGAAAGAGACCCCAGAGGCCGGAAAAGAGTCGAGGGTTTCCAGCAGCGCAGGGCGAATATTTTCTGGACAGAAGTCACGTCAAGTGGTCTGCGCCCTTTCTAGAGTGCGAGCACGGCAGGTTTGTGCCGCACTGGCTGCTGACGCTCTCCGCTGGTTTCTATGGTCTGAAGAATTACTCTGCGCCGGAGTTTAGGTAAGGCACTCTTAATGAACTTAAGCATAACAGACTGAACAACGAGTTAGATTTTGTGACCCACAAACTCCAAATTCATTTTTATATAAGACAAGCAGGTTTTAGTTTGAACACATACTAACACACACAGTTACGCAATGTATTGGTACTTTTTGGTGATTTAATGACGCAGTAGCTTATGTTTAATGCGAGGTCATATGATTGACCGGGGCAAGTTGTCACTTATTATTATTCCAGTGAATATTTCTCAGAATTATTTGTAAAAGTCAGTTTCTGTTGGTACATATCTTAAAGATTTGGCTACAAAAACCTATACACATTTCCGTGAGAATAAAATATGATAGGCTACTAGAGTTCACTGAACACGTGCGGACCTGTTATGTGGGGTAAGTTGTCACAACAGGAATTTGTCTTTTAAATTTGTGTTTTAAAAAAACTAACATTTTTTTGCACATAAGTTAATACTGTACATTCGCATATGTAGATACCATATACATAGTCTATATTTCTATTTTCACATTCTATATTTCTACTCTATAGTTGCATATATAGATACACATAGTCTATATTTCTATTTTTATTATATTCCTATTACTGCAGCATAGTTTTTATTATTATTATGTTTCTTACATTGTATGTATGTATATGTGTATAGTTTGTGTGTGTGTGTATATTTTGTAATTGTTGTAATTTGTTATTTTGTTTTCAGAATTGTGATCTGCTTTGCACTGCTCGGCCACCGTAGTATAGCATTGCACTGTCTTGGCACTCATTGTGGACAGCAAAGTAAGAATTTCATTGCTCAGGGAAACTTGTTTTCCTCACTGGGCATATGACAATAAACGCTTTGAAACCTTGAATAAAGGCAGCAAAATTTAAACAGTGAAACAATAATGAAACACAAAACAGTTGATAAAAAAATGCATCAAATATTGAAATGAATAAATTGTATACATTCATAAGATTTAAAAAACCTGCCCAACCTGACATCTATGAAAAATACTTTTGTCCTGAGAACATCTTTTATTTAAAATCAGTTAATTATATAATTGACTCTTGTCTTAATGTATGCTGCTAGTGTGATTCACTTGTTTACCCAGCAAAAATATGATGATATTATGGTTGAATATTCATTTGAGGCAAGAATTGTCAAAACTTATTCTAATATATGAGGTTTTGAAATAATCTGGACTCAAAACTTTTACTGTCAGTGTACAGTTACTGAGTTATAACCAACCAATCTGATTAAAAGTATTTAAATGTCTACATGTCATTAGATAGCATATCAAGTAGGATGTACTTTGAATAAGGTTAGCACAAGCACACTTTTTAAGTAGAATGTTTCACAAGGTCTTAAAGATGGAATAATATATATTGTTCAAAATAAATACAATAAGTATTTAGACACTTTCTGGTTGTGGAAGGTTAGTGGATCGTATTCATAGTTGACTCATGTGATGGAAACTCACTTCATACATCCAATGGAAACTGCGATATCAGTTGGTTAAAAGTTACTGCCAAGATGGCTTGGCAGCATTTGCTTGCAGATGCCACTTGCCTGATATTTTGTCATCTAATGCAATGCCATTCAGACATTTTTATTGGAGAGAAAGACTCTTGAACACGTGTAAGCAGTAGAGTATACACAGACAGAATGCTGGTTTTCTTTCAGCACAGTAATGTCATTGTTAATGTGCTAAATTGCTAGGTATCACCCAGCGACAGCATCAGGTCATTAACCTGATCCTAGCAATTTCAAAATCAATCAAGCCATAAATGAATTACAAAAGCTGCTGGCTGCACTGGTTACTTGAATGCATTTAGAATTTTGGGCCAGTTGCGCTTGAACTCTACACATGATATGATACTCATGTGTGCTCAGTTTTTTATAATCAACAGCCATTGGAATTTGCTGATATTGCAGCTGTAATGGTTTTCTGCCAGATGTGATCTATGCAATGCAATGGAAATTATCCATTTGAATGGTGGTGTGGTAAACGGATGTTATCAAAGTGTATAACATATGAGACTGGAGATTCTGTTCAGAGGGCAGCCTTTGAGGAAAACTTCATGAAAGAATTAAAAATTCACAAAAAGCATGGCAAAGTTGGCTGGAACTACAGCTCCCGACCTGTGGTTGGAAGCATAGTTTCTTCCTTGAATAAAGGCAGCAAAATTTAAACAGTGAAACAATAATGAAACACAAAACAGTTGATAAAAAAATGCATCAAATATTGAAATGAATAAATTGTATACATTCATAAGATTTAAAAAACCTGCCCAACCTGACATCTATGAAAAATACTTTTGTCCTGAGAACATCTTTTATTTAAAATCAGTTAATTATATAATTGACTCTTGTCTTAATGTATGCTGCTAGTGTGATTCACTTGTTTACCCAGCAAAAATATGATGATATTATGGTTGAATATTCATTTGAGGCAAGAATTGTCAAAACTTATTCTAATATATGAGGTTTTGAAATAATCTGGACTCAAAACTTTTACTGTCAGTGTACAGTTACTGAGTTATAACCAACCAATCTGATTAAAAGTATTTAAATGTCTACATGTCATTAGATAGCATATCAAGTAGGATGTACTTTGAATAAGGTTAGCACAAGCACACTTTTTAAGTAGAATGTTTCACAAGGTCTTAAAGATGGAATAATATATATTGTTCAAAATAAATACAATAAGTATTTAGACACTTTCTGGTTGTGGAAGGTTAGTGGATCGTATTCATAGTTGACTCATGTGATGGAAACTCACTTCATACATCCAATGGAAACTGCGATATCAGTTGGTTAAAAGTTACTGCCAAGATGGCTTGGCAGCATTTGCTTGCAGATGCCACTTGCCTGATATTTTGTCATCTAATGCAATGCCATTCAGACATTTTTATTGGAGAGAAAGACTCTTGAACACGTGTAAGCAGTAGAGTATACACAGACAGAATGCTGGTTTTCTTTCAGCACAGTAATGT